GGTGTGCAGGGCGGGGCGCGAGGCGTGCTTCAAGGAAAGGGCAAGCGACCTGGGCCGGGCCAGCGCGGCATCCCAGGTCAAGGTTCACCGGCCCAACGGCGATGCGCGGCGCGGCGCGACGCTGTGGCGACGAGGGCGATGGAGGCAGAGAAGTGGCGTCCCAGTGACGGCTCGCAGCGCAAGATGTTAACATTTCGAACACATGACGGTTGCACAAATACAAAATTCTTTAAATTGAAGAAACTTAGGGTCGTCTTCATTTTCCTCTACTAATTATCCACTAGCAGTCTTCCCTCTACGAATTTAACCAACTGTTCGGTGTGGCAGGGGGAGAGGGTACCAAACAAAAGTAGCCGAAAAGACGTAAATCTTGTTCTTTCATGGTTATCTTTACCTGGCATTATTTTCGGCCCAACGCAATACTCAATTGGATGCATCAATAATGAACATATTGTCAGAAAAAATACATATCTAAAATAGGTTGGCCTTTTTTATTGTAAATTTTTCTGTCGAATTTACTCGTAATTGGTATGGAACGAAGACATCTGGAGCAATTTTACATAAAACTATTTTTAACTGAAGGACCATACATATTTGAAAATGTTAAAATAATTTACTTTCAAAATTCCTATATACTACATTTCCTAAACCACGTAATTATCTTTAGCGAGGCAAACACAAATTTTAATTTAAAAAAAATAGATATTCAGAAACTACAAAAAATTATTTTTGATATCAAGGCAATTTTCATAACATTTTTTTTTTACTTTTTAATGGTAAAGCCGATTATTTTACCAATTATCTTTATTATATTCGCAGCATTACACAAAAATCCACGAACACTGAGCTGGCGGGGAAAATGCGTTTCCGGAATGTACAGACCTAATATTTGCCAGACATTTAATCTTTTCTACATCTGTTCTTCTGTAAAGATGCTAATTTCATTCAGAGACAAGGGAAAAGAAGGCTTGTTTACATCACTAGATGCAATAGTGGCGTGCCACATAGGATTGGCCGCACCTCTTATATTCCTGTAGCCAACCGCACGAGCTGACTGTGTTCTCCCTCTCCGACTGTTGAGAGCAGCTCACACGCAAGGCAAGAATCCCTTGTTCGGCACTAAACAGGTTGTTTTTATAGCTGTAAAGTGCATGCGAAGCCATAAGGATTTCCCTTTCACACACAAGTGATAATGTGATTTTTCCTGTGTTCTCGCGTGTTGTTAATTGTATTAGTCGATAAAGTATCAAAGAAAAATTATTTTTATTATGTGGTAACATTTTTTAAACGATTTTAGATTATGTACAGTGTTAATATTTGTTACGAACGTTCAATGTGTTAAGTAATGAATAACATTTTTTTAAAAATTAAAATGATTGCCACTTGTCACTGTGGAATGTGTAATTGGCATATAACAAATGTAAGTGACAGCAATTTTAATAAAAAATGGTCATCCATAACTTAACAAATTAAATTTTGTTGTATGTCAGTCTTAAAATTAAAGGACCTAATCTTCCCACAAATTACAACGTTAATAACTGAGTATTTAAATTTTAAAATATATTTTTCTTTTAGAAGTATGATATAAGAATATTGTAAAGTATATATATATATATATATATATATATATATATATATATATATATATATATATATAATGCTTTAAGAAATGGTTATCATGACATTATAGCTGGAAAACATAATTTGTAAAAATAGAATTAAACACATTGTAGTCAGTAAGATGCGACGTATAAGTAGAACACTTGGAATGTACACATTTATGTTTTAAAGAGGAATGTTGTGATACAATTTTGCCAATTTAAAGCATCGCCTTAAGAACTTTATTCGTAAGCATTTATTTACACACTTTGATTTATACTTAAAAAAATAATCGTATTAATAAAAGTGCAGGTAAATGAGGTCAGAGTTCTATACTTTGGCAAAAAGGTTAATGTGAAATTTCTACAATAAAGATGGAATTTTCGAGAAAGGGATTACCTTCTCAAAGAAGACATGGGAGTTACACAAAGCAGAATTCTACTTCTATTGACACGAACTATACAGACAAATTTTAATGAAAAGGGAGTCTAAAAAAAACAATTATTCAAATTACGAACACAAATCCTGAAATGAAATACTGTTGCAAAGGTAAATATAAAGTAAGAAAAACGACCAAAATCAAAAATAAATATACCAGTGCAGGCGGCTGAGGCCTAGAAGACAAATAGTTCCTACCACACTATCAATACATCTGTGCAGGGGAGTTGTACAAGCCATTGTAAGCAAGAGCATCGCGCACACTTACGTCCCAGATGTCTAGGTAAGGCCGCATTTTGGTGGTCTCTAGGGGGATCTGTTCTTCCTCTTCGCCCCCGCTGCGATCGCTGCTGTCTGCGGCTCGGTTGTCCATGGCGCAGACGGTGCTGCCCCCGCCGGCAGCCGCGGCCACGCCGCCGAGGTTTGTGCTGCCGATTGCTCGCGTCGGCTCCGCTGACTTCGTCGGAGCACTCGCCGCTGAAGCAGTGGGAGACGTCTTCTCCGTGGTTGTAACAGTCACCGTTACCTTCCCCGGGGACGTTGAGGTCAATGTCACTTTTGTTGGCGTTGTCGATAAAGTCGTCACTTTTGTCGTCATGGTAGATGTCAAGGTCAACTTTGACGGCGCTATTGTTGGTGCCGTAACGGACATGGGCGCTATAGTAGGTATTGTCACTTTCGTCAGACCTATGGTTGGTACCGTTACGTTGGTCTGTGGTATAGTTGTCACAGTCCCTTTCGGAATCGTTGTTAATGGCACAGTTACTTTTGCTGAAGTCGCCGATGGCACAGACGTGGTTGTTGGTAAAATAGATGGCATCGTCACTTTCGAAGGCGCCGTTGATGTCAGCGTCAATTTCGTTGGCGCTGTTAAAGGCATTGTGATTTTCGATGACGCTGTTGATGGCAATGTTATATTCGAAAATGCAGTAGATGGTATCGTTGCTTTAACAGGTGCGTTCGATGGAAATGCCACGGTGGTTGGTGAGGTTGACGGCGCCATCGCCTTTGTAGGCACGGTTGATGGCGTTACACGCGTCAAAGCTGTTGATGGTAGGGTCGCCGCCGGCACTGTTGATGTAATTAATTCCTTTGCCGCAGTAGTCGGTGACATGCTCAAGGTCGTCGGTAAGATTGATGGAATCGTCACTTTCGTCGAGCCATTTGTCAGTGTCACCTGCGTCGGCGTTGCTAATGGAACCGTTGTCTTTGAAGATCCAGATGGTGAGACAGTATCCTTAGATTGTACTGTTGACGGTACTGTTCCCTTCACCGGCGCGGGTGATGGCAGTAGGATCGTTGATGGCATTTCCACCTTCGTCGACGTTGCTGAGCGCCCCGTTGATTCCTTCGCAAATGATGACAATGGCATTCCCATAGTCGTCGGTGTCGTTGATGAGGTAGGCAACTTCGAAGGCGCTGTTTCCTTTGACGAACCTGTTGCTTGTGAGGTCAGTAGGGTTGATGGTGCTATAACATTTGTATGCGCAGATGGCTCCGTTATTTTTGCAGACGATGCTGGCAATGCCACCTTTGTCGGCGCGATGGATGACGTAGTCATCTTTGCTGCCATTGATGGCACTGTATCATTTGCTGGAACTACGGAAGGTGCAGTTACCTTTGTCAATACAGTTGATGGACGTGTGATATTCGCATGTGCTGTTGACAACCCAGTAATTTTTGCAGAAGTTGTTGACTGCGCGGAAGCTGATGATGACGATGTTGCTGTCGATTCTGCTGATGACGGCGTAATCTTTGACGGTTGTGTCTTCACTTCCACATCCTTCACAGCAACAGTTGATGGTGTCGAAACCTTCGTCACTGCGGTTGAGGGTAACGTTACTTTTGCAGACGCTGTTATTGGCACTGTCACCTTCGTTGGAGTGGTTGATGGCACCGTCCCATTCGTTGCCACCGTAGATGACATCATACTTTTATCCAGAGCTATTGAAGGCGCCGTTACCTTCGTGACTATTGATGGCGCAGTCACTTTCACAGATGCTTCTGTTGGCTTCCCCACCTTTGTCACCGCTGTAGTTGGTGCCGTCGTCTTCAACGGTACTGTGGATGGTGTGGTTTTCGGCGTCACTGTTGACGGCGCCGTCACCTTTGTCGGTTCTGTAGACGGTTTCGACAACACTTTCTGCACTGTTGATGCAGTTGTCACCTGCGTCGGCGTTGTGGTTGTTACCATATCCATTGGTGAAATAATTGACGGCGATGTTTCCTTCACCAGTGTGGTTGATGGCGCCGCTTCTCGTGCAGGTACAGTTGTTAGCCCCAACGCTTTCGCGGATGTGGTTATTGGCACTGTCACCTTAGTCGGCGCTGTTGTTGGCATTGACACTTTAGCGGATGCTGTTGTTGGCTGATCCACCTTAGACGGTACAGATGTTGGCACTGTCACTTTCGCAGGTGCTGTTGTTGGCTCCATTGGTTGTGCGGTTTTTGGTTCCGTTACTTTCGTATGTGCTGTTGTTGGCACCATTACTTTCGTAGATACTGTTATAGGCGCCGTTTCTTTTGTAGATGTTGTTGGCGCCGTCACTTTCGTAGCTGCTGTTGTCGTCACTTTCGTAGCTGCTGCTGTTGTTGGAACCATCATTTTTCCCGGTGATGTTGTTGGCACCGTCACTTTCGGAGCTGCAGTTACTGGTGCCGGCTCTTTCGTAGCTCCCGTTGTTGGCGCTGGCACTTCCGTAACTTCCGTTGTTGATGTTGGCACTTTCGTAGATGTCGTAGATGTCGTTGTTGGCGCAGTCACTTTCGTAGCGGCCGTTGGTGGCGCCTTGACTTTCGTAGCTGCCGTTGTTGGCGCCGGCAGTTTCGTAGCTGCCGTTGTTGGTGCCTTTACTTTCGTAGGTGCCGTTGTTGGCGCAGTCACTTTTGTAGCTGCCGTTGTTGGCGCCGGTACTTTCGTACCCGCCGTTGTTGGCGCCGGCACTTTCGCAGCTGCCGTTGTTGGCGCCAGCACTTTCGTGGCTGCCGTTGTTGACGCCGGCACTTTCGTGGCTGCCGTTGTTGGCGCCGGCACTTTTGTAGCTGCCGTTGTTGGAGCCGTCACTTTCGTAGCTGCTGTTGTTGGCGCTGGGACTTTCGTAGCGGTTGTTGGTGTCGTCCCTTTCGTAGTCGGTGTTGTTGGGGCCGTCACTTTCGTAGCTGCTGCTGTTAGCATTGGCACTTTCGTAGCTGCTGTTGTTGGCGCCGTCACTTTCGTAGCTGCTGTTGTTGGAGCCGTCACTTTCGTAGCTGCTGTTGTTGGCGCCGACACTTTCGTAGCTGCTGTTGTTGGCGCCGACACTTTCGAAGCTGCTGTTGTTGGTGCCGTCACTTTCGTAGCTGCTGATGTTGGCACCGTAGCTTTCGAAGCTGTTGTTGTTGGCATCGTCACTTTCGAAGCTGCTGTTGTTGGTGCCGTCACCTTTGGAGCTGCTGTTGTTGGCGCCGTCACCTTTGGAGCTGCTGTTGTTGGCGCCGTCACTTTTGTAGGTGCTGTTGTTGGCGCCGTCACTTTTGCAGGTGCTGCTGCTGACACCGTCCCCGTCGACCCCGCCGGTATTGAAGTGGACGGCGGCGTCGACGTAGGCGACGGTGTCACCGCTGCAGACGATGACACCGTTGCCTGCGACAACGGGGCCGCCGTAGTTGAGGTCTTTGCGACCTTTTCAGTGCATTGTTGCAGCCGCTCGCTAGACGCGAGCTTCGGCTGTTTGTGTAATCCTTTGTCCTCCACACTTGACACTTTTGCACCCTGTTTTCCCTCCACGATTCTTGCAATAAAATAGTCCTTTCTCGAATCACTAGATAACACTTGCTATACTCTCTATTACTTTTGGATCGGATCCTATATAACAACGGTAGGAAAAATAGATTGACAAGGGAATCACATCAAAAATTAGAGTTCTCGAATCTATGTATCTCTTTGTGTATAAATACGTATTTAAGATACTGTTTGGTATCTATTTTTTCTCTTTAAGTTGAGGGATATGTAGCTTCTACAGATAACCTCTTTATGACTTTTAATCTCTACACAGCCTTGTTGTAATTCACAATTACAACTATCTTACGTCGCATCACAGATAACTTTATAAATGCAGTTCTCAGCTTCTATATCTTCTGGCTCTTAACGGGTCTTGCAGGGATGTAATACTGAGGTCAAACTAACTCGAAATCTATTAAATTTCTGACAGTTATTAACGAACACGATTTTTCTAAATAAAGTTTTCTCACAACTAACATCAACGGGGATATAGACAAACAAGTGTTTGTATAGAATTCTCTATGTTTTATCACAACGAACAACAAGTTAACACTTAGTAACTGAATTCTACAGCACCATTTCCACAATAAACATTTTTTATAAAACGAACAGTACAGTATCACGGATTCAAGCTGACGGTGCAGATATTTTGTTCGAAACTACAGTATCTTTGCAAGAACAATGTCAGCATATACAACACATTTGCAAAAAGCTTCAGAGCCTAAAACGTAATATTTGCGGTTGGGGAAAAAATGCTTGCTTAACACGTAGACGAATAGAACAAAAAAAAGAACGTAGTTGTGAGTGTGGTTGCTGCTGTCGCTGCAGGCGCGGCGGATTTGGGTGGAAGATGTGACAGCGCCGGGCGGATGGTGGAGGCGGCGGTAGCGGAGCCGGTGGAGGAGGAAGAAGCGGTGCCTCCCACCTCGCACGCTTCTTGGACAGCAGGCAACTGAACCGGCGCGGCGCGGCGGCCGTTCGCACCGCGAGCGAAGGGCGCGCGCCGGCGGCGACGGCCGCGCCGCGGGTGGCGCCCGCGCGAACCTCCCCTTCGCCAGATCAATACCCACTCACCCCCCCTCACCCCACTCTCTTCAGCTTCCGCCGTCCTCCGCGGTCCAGATGTGGGAGGTCGGGACGAGTGGGATACTGGCAGGGGCAGTGGGCAACTGCCCAAAATGGGGTACGAGTTACGGAACCTTGTCTTAAGAAAGAGATGTTAACCCAAGGCGAAGACACCGTGTGCAAACGGACGAGTAAATTAGGGTCATAGAGAAGGGCGTTTATCTGAATACGCGCGGAATGACGGGAGCAGCATAGGGAGGAGAAAAAGACGTTGGGGGAGTGGGATTGGAGAAGAAATAGTCCACCGAACTACGATGAAGAGATGCACAAAAATTGGTTAGGCATCTTTTAGATCATCAAAACGAAATTGCCGAACAGATGAAAAGAGGCTCTGAGGTGGGAATGATGTGGGAAAATAAATATAAAGCAAACGAGAAGGCGCGTCGCAAAAGGACTCAGGCAAAAACTATTGCCTGCCTGAATAAACGTCATCTTTGCAAGAGGACCAAGTGTATACAACACCAGTTACAAACAAATAAGTTGTACATTGTCCTTTGGTTGGTGAAGGAAAAATAGTCTAGAAGCAGAAAAGAGAGAGCAAAATTGACAGTTGGTGAATGATAGCAAGAGGTTCGTCAAGTACACTAAGTACAAATTCGAAGAGAAGCAGATTCAGGTAATTGTAAGAACCGACAACAATGAACGAGTAATGAGTCGAGTAGGAGCGATCAGGTATTTGGAAAGTGGGGGAGAGGACGACGAGACGGAAGCATGCGGTGGGCGCAGGCTCAGCAGGGCCTGAGTCAGCGCAAGGGAGGGAGAGAGAGAGAGAGAGAGAGAGAGAGAGAGAGAGAGAGAGAGAGAGAGAGAAGGGTGGTAGGGCGCGGGAAAAGGACGGCCCTACCCTGCCCAGCCCGCGACCTACTTTCGCAGGGAGAAGTTGTCCGCGCGCCTCTGCACATTCAACTCGAGTGAACCCAAAAAGGTCTCCTCCTCTTCCTATCAGTTTCCACCGACCGTCAGGTTTCCTCACTTGAATGAAGTACGCGGTGTATGAGAGTAACCAATAATGTTTAGACCTTGTTCTCGAGATTTTTAGAGTTACATTTTCTCATTTTGTAGAGACACCACTGTAAGAAGGAACCGCTTTGACAGCTACTGCTGGGCCACTGCTAGCAACATGCGCAACAACGAGAGCAGGTTAAGTTCACGCGTTCATTTTGCCAGTGTGATCGTTTCCTGTTAGCTCATTCGTAAATGATTTCATCGCTATCTCGTGCAGCCTGATCGCCCTGCATGACCCTCATTTGTTTTCCGGCCTGTCAAAGTGGCCCTTTCTTAGAATAACTATATGAAGAGGTGTTGACACCACCGATTACGAGCAGAACTATTTACAAATAAGAATAAATTGGGGGAAGAATAGTTTAAACAACAGTATAAATGGATAAACGATTAATACAGTATGATACACGATGAAGAGTAACATTACATGGAGATAAACAATTCTTATAAATATACATTACGACAACGCACTATTGAAACTGTTCACAAATGACTAATACTTAGTTCCCTTATATTGTAAAAAATAAGTTAAAATGTTATTCATATGTTAACTCTAAAACACTAGGATATTAATCAAATTATTTTATCCATATGTCCATGAGGTACTTAACCTATAGAATTGTCTTATTATCACATACTAATTCAAAAGGTTTGATTTTATTAAGCTTTCTTTACTCTTTCTTCTTGGTTGCGCTTATTTAAAAAAATGAATAGTTTCTGTCATCAAGAAGTCATAATTCATAATTGGCAAAGAATGACATGAATTCGATAGAGATGTAAGGTGTCCCAAAATGATGACACTACATAAATTATATCTTGAGGTATTATCATGTCTTGCAGTAATTTATGTGGAAAGGTGGAAATAAAATGTATAATACTTACTTTAATACAGCCCCAAATATTAAAGCCATAAAACCACTCCAGGCTTAAGGTATAATTTTTGTAATATTGTCATCTATGGGCAGAAGAGAAGTGCCTTCCATGAGCCAATACAATTCCCTATAGTTAAGGCTTGCTCTCTTCTCCTTTGAGCATGTTTCCTTCACCATTATTAATCACTTTATGCCATATCTAAATATTTAACAGTAATTACATTATTTAACAAGAGGGGTGCTTAATATTCCTGTTAAGTTAATAAGAACGAATTTTGAATTGTTCAATTTGGACTTACACCTCATCAATGAGTAAATCTGATCAATAGAATTTTGATGTCTGCATGCTCTGGTATGACCGCGAAAATAGCTATTAAGGACGTAGTCACGATGAACTGAATTGAATTGAATTGATGCCTTATTTTACGTGGCGAGACTCAGGTCATTAGGCCTCTCTTCCGTCTGACCACGCAAATTGCGCTACGATCCTTTCACCAACTAGCAGAGAAAGAAGGTATTTCTTGGGCGAGAAACATGCGATTTGAATTTAGCTCAGAGGCGTCATTTAGGCTTGAGGATCTTTTATATGCAAGTAAATCGACTAACATGGGCCAGCCGGCTCTTCTTCCCCTGCGAAGGAAGGCGTACGATGGATTTTTTCGCCCTTAAAATCATTGTGAAATGCTGAGAGGTTTGATTCATTTCGAAGAGAAGATGCTGCTTACACTATTCTATCAGCTGTTACATTACCTGGAATTTGTACATTGGAAAGGATTAAAGGGAAGCTGCAGTTTGCCCAAATTTCAGAATTAATTGAAATAATATTCAGGCATATTGGTTTCTTATTATTTTTAATATGTATAGATTCATTAGCACTTCCAGAGTCAGCAAAAATGAAAAATGTGGAGTTTCTTGTTTAAAGAACTTCAATTAGGGTGAATCTAAAGGCAAAAAACTAGTTTGCTAGAGATATTCTTTCAATAAACTATTTTCAGTATTTTAAGAAGTTCTAAAGAATTGGAGGAAAATGTAAATTGATATACTGCAAAAATATAAGGGAAAAAATAGGTTAGTAACTATGAAATCTGAGAGAGAAATGTCTACGATATTATGATTTTCTGGAGAACTTATTATAGTATTTATAGTCAAATATTTGCTATTTTTATTTATATACTTTTATCATGGGGCCACGTGAGGCAATAACAAATACTTGTACATAGTTTTTCTCTTTTGCAGGCTATATATAAATTCTTTTAGTAGAAATTATGGTTTTAGACTGTGTACAAGAAACCATATTATTGGATTTGTTTATAGATGCGTTTGAAGTAAATCAACTGTTGACTGTTTCAGCCAATCGGGAGATTGAACGTCACCATAGCGACATATAGCCTCCCGATTTCATGTCAACAGCAAATTTACTTCAAACGTAGTTCTAAAAAAATCCAAGTACAGACCCAAAATCTCCTTATGCAACCCGCAACACACTCCATGCTTCAACACATCCTTTACAATTCGTATACAGTATTTGAGTAAACCCCTTGAGTGCGACGATGTGCGTTGAATTTGCGAAACCCTACGAACAGTATTGCCTCGGAACTTATTAAACGTGAAGAATTTCAAGTGAATACGGAGAAAACAAAACTATGAGTAACCCTTGAGAATTAATTAACGTTAAGTTCGACTTCTCATTTTTACGTTCTTACATAAGTGTGCATATACCGTTTTTTCAAATTAATGTGGCTCACAAATTGTTCTTATTATTTAAACTTAGATTTGCATCCAGTGCTAGATTCCTAAAAGTCATCAACCTAAAAGTCAAAAAGTGCCTTGTCGCTGCTACCATGACATTCTGTCCTCGGCTGTCCTTTTCATATCTGCATAGTTTTTTTAATTATGTATGAAGTTGTTCCAAAATTTTTATTGTAGGTCTCAAGATTCGCATGCAAAACGATTAGTAGAGCAATTTCACAAGTTGAAGTAAACACAAATTAGACTGAGTTTGTGAAGTTTTAATCTCTTCAAAAATTTGGAGAAACAAATATGGATATGTTAAGAAAATCCGGGGAAGAATCAAATGTAAAAGATGTTGCGTCAGAATTTTCGGAATTATTTGGGAATGATTTTTGCAATTAGCATTTGTGCTAATGCAAATATGTTAGGTGCATTTTTGTTCATATTAGCCAAATAGCGAAGAATGTAGATTTACTCAAATTTAACTATTAGCACACCCAAAACCTACAAGTAATTGTTTCGTCTATTATACTTTTGAAATTTCAATAAGACCAGTTCATTTCCGTATGGAGATAACATACTAGACCATTGGGTGTTGGGAACTTTTGAACGGGAGTATAACATTATCAGCTTCTACGATTCATTCGCAATGCCAATGCCACATACTGAAATAACATATCTGAACAAAGCTGGCCATGAAAGAAATGACGTTTGAAAGAAATTTTCAACACATGAAACTATTTTTTAAACAGTTTTTCATCGTCGGTGACGCCATATTTTAATAGCATAACTGCGTTTAGGATCGTTAGGTTACTACATTTAGAACCTTAAAACCAAGTCTTCGTGTTCAATGAAGGAAACATTTTGTTTATGCCGTTACCTACAAAATTAAATCCATCCAAGGGCAGTTCTCTCTCCCCGTGGCATGGGTTACCACAAACGTTGGAAGTTGGATTTCAGTCTGAAGCGATTTTCACTTTTAAATGCGATGTAACAGGCTGGAATGATGTGGGTAGAATATGGGGATACTGCTAAAACCGTGAGGGGAAACACCGGAGAATTCGTGGAGGGAGCATATGTCGCTCGAGTTGCTGTTTTAAGCAGTATTTTGAAAACCTATATTCATTTGAAATCTGTCACTTATAGAGAGTAAGCCCTTTGTGTAACCTCTCCTGCTGTATTCACGTGCGATCAAAATGACCAGAATTCGAAATCTACGTACA